TCAGTTTTGGTTTGAAATTTACTTTGTCTGCAAATAAGATTGCTACCCCTGTTTTTTTCTGGGCTCCTGTCACATGGAGAATTGTTTTCTATCTTTTCACTTTCAGTCTGTGGGCTTTTTGCGCTAGGTGTGTTTCTTGTATACAACATATTGTTGTATTTTGCTTCTTATTCCATTTTGCCAGTCTGTTTCTCTTGATTGGTGAGTTGAGGCCATTGACATTGCTGTTATAACTGATATGTACTGACTTATTATTGACATATTATTGGCTTGTTCACTCTTTTTACTTTTTCACCTTCTCCTTTTAATTTCTTGCCTTGCCTATTTGATTTGCTCTGTTGGGCCTCATGGTGTTGTTGCCGTCATTGTCTTTTTCTAGGATCTTGTTTAGAATTGCTTGTAGTGCTGGTTTGGTATTCATGTAGTTTCTCAGGTGTTCTTTGTCGTGGAAGTGTATTTCCCCATTCATTTTGAAAGAGAGTTTTGCTGGATACATCAGTCTAGGTTGGAGGTTGTTCTCTTTTAGTACTTGAAATATCTCATTCCAGGCTCTCCTTGCCCCGAGGGTTTGTGGCGAAAAGTCTGCTGTGATTCTGATGGGCTTTCCTTTGTATGTGATTTGTTTCTTTTCTCTTATTGCTTGTAGTATTTTGTTCTTCTGTTGGGTTTCTGGGATCTTGATTATTATATGTCTAGGTGTAGATTTTTTTTGATTGTAGCTAGTTGCGTTCCTATATGCCTTAGTTATCTGAATGTCACATTCTTCCTCTCTGGGAAGTTTTCTGTCATTAATTCTGCAAACACCTTTTTAAAGTCATTTGTATTTTCTCCTGCTACTTCATGTATTCCTATCAGTCTTATGTTGTTCTTCTTTGCATCATCTAGGAGTTGTTGGATTGATTTCTCATGATCTCTTATTTTTAAGAGACCTCTCTTTTCATGGTCACTGACTGCAATCTTATCTTCTATATCTGAGAGTCTCTGTTTGCCTTCTTTTATTCTGTTGCGTGCACTTTTAATAGAGTGTTTAATCTCCTGGATATTTGTTTGAATCTGTTTTATGGATTCCATTTCTTTCCTATGTTGGGTGTTTATTTTTTCCATTTCTTTCTTAACCTGGGCCTTCATGGCTTCTATCATGGTCCTGAGCTCATCTATTTTTTTTGTCAGTTTCTGCTCTAGAGTCTCGAATCACGACTTCCATTTTGCTCACTATCTCTATGGTTATCTGGGAAATTATTTCTGTTTTGAATTTTTCTAGAGCCTGATTGATCTGTTTTGTTACTTCCTGTGCTTTGAGTTCAGGGTGTCCTGGTGGTTCACTATCGGCCTTTTCATCCTCATTTGCCCTACTGTTTGCCATTGGTAAACTGGAAGTCTGTCCTTGTGTCTTG